ACCTCCCACAATCCGTAGAAACATTGAGTTAGTGTAATATCCTGCACTATAACATCAAACTCGACATTCTTAATCATTTCCAAAAGCTCTTTCGCTGCTTTAGTCTTTGTTATTGCCTCACATGCATTGATTCCCCATTGATATGTAAAATATCCCGTATAAAATACACTATACTGTTCCCACTCAGACGGGTTATAATCCTCGGATTCTTCATAAGTTTTCATCACATCATCGAATACCTGATAATAATAAGTATCATTCACTATACAGGAGAAGACATGTAAAAAAATGTAATAAATTAAGATTTTCAGAAGCATTGACTTTCTATATATAATATAAAAAAGTATAAGACAACATTTTTTTAAACAAAAGTATATATTCTTTCTCATTTATTTAATAAATTTTATATAATCGATTTATACTCACAAGGAACATTCTTCATATACATATATACGCTGATTTTTATTATTAAAAGTATATGTAAAAGAATGAATTACGATACCCATTTCATTAACAATTATCAATAAACAATAGAAAAAATTACTACGTTTATGGAAAATTAATAAAAATAAAAAAAAATATGAGAAAATTACACTATTCGATATTATTTTGCAACATGAGTGTAATTAATCATTTTCAATAGGCAATGTATTTTTATCTAAAAATAAATTTGTTGTCCATATTTGGCTATCACATCATAATTTAAAAAAAAATTCAAAGTTACAAAAATGACGTTTTTATGACTTAGCATTGACAACAATTTTTACATTTTATAAATACTAAAAGTTTCATGAAAATTGGCGTGTATATATATATACATATATACTGGATAGTGCTTCATGTCAGAATGAGTTTTGTAACATCTACTTACAGCGTACGTCAAATTCTGTGCGAGTTTTCCCTCAATCTTAGTTTCGTGTATACTTATTGTATGTACATGATGGCCTTCACGAAGTAATCCTTTAATCAAATTCTCTGCCCAAATGTGGTGGCTGGTCGATGGAATAGGCTCCAATAATAAAATCGACAATGTTTTTGACGTTGTCACGAGGCTCATTAAAATATAACAAACAAGATAAAATGACAAAGTAAAACAACTTAACATCTTTGCATAAAGCCTTCTACGTAGTCTCTCAATTAAATTTTAAGACTGAATGTCAGTATTCTACCATAGCATTTGTTGCATCTTTGCATTTAAAAATGATAAGATATGATAAAGAATGATTGACAGTAATATCGCTTTAATAATACGTTGAATTGACATGTTGACATTTTCCGACAACTTGGTTATATAATTATTGAAAAAAAAAGGAAAAAAAATGCATAAATGAATTTTTTAAAATATGTATATAATACACAGTATTTATTCATACTTTAGTGCTGTTTTCGCATCATTAAGATCGTGAAAACATCTGTATGCATAATTAGTCGAAAATAATATCGTTTTTTTTAGCTCAAACTTGAATGTATATTATCTTCATTAAAAATGAAATTTAAATTAAAAAGAAAAAAGTTTTAAAGCTTGAAATCTTTATTTTCTAAAAGTTTCTATATTTTTTTAGTTTTCGTGAGTTTGGTAATTTCTATAAAATTTTTATCATTCTTTGGTAATATAATACGAGCTGAAAAAATAGAAAATTTTCTTTTCACTTCTTTATAAGGCTATACTCAAAAAATTTTTGACTATCTATTATGAAAGTTGAAAGTTTTTTTTACAAAATTTTTTTTTAATGTTCCTACGATGTTTTATTACTGAATTATTTACGGATTAAATTAAAAGGAACATTCTGATGAAGATTTATCTAAAATTCTTCGAAAGCACGTTTATTAAAAATTGTTATAATGATTGTGCAATTTTAAGTGGTCATTATTTAAAAATATATTGTTGCGTTTCTTATAATTTGCAGTGAGAATCAGCTCATCAAATATTTGTATATAATTTGTGCCTATATTGGTTAAACATTAAAATACATTGGAGACATATGGAATCAATATTTCATTAATAAATGTGCTACTAAGATATTACGTCCAAGCTCCGCGCGCATGCGGAACTGAGGGGGTGAACGCAACAAGGAACCGAATCGTTAAACCGATTTGGTCGTGTCCAGGCTCCGGACCGCAAGGGAGTCGTGGAGAAGGACCGACGCAAATCGGAAGGCGCTTCGCTTCGTCCTGAGGCTCCTAACGAGCCGGGGGTCGAACGGAGGAGAACAAAGTGGAAACCTCTGCTCGTGCTCCGCTAAACGGACACACGAGTAGGACGTACTTCAAAAAAGGGCCCAAACTGGGTCAGTGTGCCGAAAGGGGCGCACTTTAACGCCAGCTGCGCCAGTACGGCCGTATGCCCTGACTTTCGGTCATGGAGCTTAATCCAAGTGACCGGGGAGAGGGCGAAGTGCAATCACGGGAGAGCTTAATAATACGAGGAGAGGTTATATTTAAATAATGACTACCGAGAAGTTAATTTAATAATGATATAATTAAAAGAAGCAAACTGGAGTGATACATTTTTTGAATAAAAAATAAATACAATTTTGTCAAGTAAATACAAAAATAATACAATTTTTGGTTCTCTATTCTGAGTTATATGTACGCATTTATGGATGTGTGAGAGTGTGTGTATAAAGTATTGTAGAATGGAAGGGAGGAGTTACGGAGAGAATAACGAGAGAATAAAAAGAGAAGGAGGTTTTGGTGAGTAGATTTGAGAGGGTTTGGCCTAATTTTCCTCGGATGATGATAGTGTTAGCGGACAAGAACGACCGGTCGACAGGAGGCGAACAATTATCGTGCGGCGACGGCGACAGATTGAAACTATAATGTGGACTGCAATGTTTTCATTTTCTTATAGGAGATCAAAAGGGAAAAAGAAAGAAAGAAAAGAATAAAAATAAAATAAAACAAATGAATAATAAAAAAAAATAAAATGAAATATTGAAATAAATTACCAAAAGATAAAGCGAGGAGGGAGCCAGAGAATACTGACTTATTACTGAGATGCTTATCGTTGGAGATCCTCCGTCCAGGATGTGCAAGGCTGGTGACGTTTCTTTAACACTGACTCTACTGGAGAAAGAGGGCTTCGAAAATCGGATAGAACTTTTTGAGTATCGCGACAAACTCACTGACTCTATCAACTTTGAGTATTGCGACCACTGGAAAACGCACATCTCGGGCGTCGAGAAGGCGAACATGCATCGTCGCCACGGGACCACCCAGAATCTACCCCTGAACGTCGCGTGCCGTTTCTTAAATTTTGTAATTACGGATTCGCGAGAATCGTCCGCGACTTGACCGTTAATCATGGCGCCGGTCTTACATTTTTCATTACGTATTTATTATTGATTTTTATCTCGGAGCGACATTCATGGGGAGATACCGGGTTCCTTGTTTTAGTTTTTAGGGTAGGAGAAAAAAAAAAGGAAAATAAAATTTTAGTTTTTCGACGAATCTCTACGAAAGAAAAGAGTCGTGCGAGTCCGCCGGACGTAACAAGGGTAATCAACTGTAAATTGAATGAGTTTAACAACAAATAGTCAATCAACAAGCGATAAGTAATCATTTATTGATTCTGCGAACATGAGATCACAAATTTATTGAAAAAATGCCAAATTTGTAAGAACCGTTATTTCATGCGGAGGTATGTTATATAATAATTGGATCTGCAATTATTATTTCCGTGTATTGTTCTACATTTATTAAAGTTGGTATTATTGTAATTATGATTTTCAATTATAGAGTTTATGAAATTGAGTTTATGAGCATATGAGAACTCCAATAACAATACATTATCACTCAAGTATTGTAACATTAAATCATTTCTTTGATCTCTTTTATAATATTTATTTTTACAAGTTTATATAAATATATTTCTCTTGTATTGTGTGTTAATAAAAGTGAAATCTTTCACAATTTTTTTTTAGTCCATTTCAATATTTTATGTCATCTAAAAATAAAAAGCAATTGTAAAAAATACTTATTAACATAGGATAGCAAAATGGGTATTTGTCCTCATTTCAAAATGTCATAATAAAAGATAATTTTAAATTAAAAGTAATGTTACTTTGTTATCTAGAAATATGAATGACAATTGCCGACTAAGCATTTTTTATCACAATCTATGCAAATATGATTTAATTCATAAAACACCTTCAGTCATTTACAATTTAAAAATAAATTTTATTAATTAGATTTTATTAACAAATACATTTTATTAATTGAAGAATGCTTTATCTTTATCTTCCACAATCCGTAAAAGTATTTAATATATTATATGTAATATCTCTTATACTACATCAAACTTAACAGTCTTGATTATTTCCAAAAACTCTTTCGCTGCTTTAGATTAGCAATGCACCGGATATCCACAGCAGTCTCGACTCAAAACTCCAAGTGTGGAGTAATGAGTTGGTGAAAAAAGATAAGGGACGAACAATAAAAAAAAAGAGTCTTATGATTGCATAAAAACTGTTACACATATATTTTTATTTTTTACATATATTGTTACATATATTTTTCATATATAGTATATATATTTTATATATATATATAAAATCATGTAGAACACGCAAATGTTGAACTACGGATTTTGTTATTGCTTATAAATTCATTTATTCTTTTAAATTATTATTTTGTACGGCATCTGAATGAATATGCGGAACAGTACTATTTAATAAAATGTATTCCAATAAAAAGTAATGCAACCTATTGAAAGATAATATACATATCATATAAAAATAATAAGGAATTAAAGTAACGATAAAATAACAATTATTAGTTACTGTCATTGTAAAAATATAATGACATTACCATTACTACATAGAAAAAATAATCATTACCGAAAAAAGAGTGATAATAACGATAACGACGTTACAAGTAACACGGTTCTTCCAAATCTTGATTTAGATATTATTTTCAATATTATATTCTTTAATTATATGTTATTAATTAACTGCTTAAAATAATTATGATATAAAGATATAATCCAAATTTGATACCCTTCATTGTAAAGTTGTTTCTTTAACTGCGTGTGATATAGTCTGTATGGATACAGTTTTAATGTCTAAATATATACCAACGGCTTTAGCTACTAATATCTCTGTAGACTTTTAATTCATAAAAAAAGGCATTATGATCATTAGTACACCTTTTCAAAATGGCTTCCTGTATGCTGAGAAGACTATAAGTCCAAGCTTTTTATGAGCTAAACATAACAATTTTTTATGATAAATTTTAAATCTGGATTATTATGATGTAAATCTCACATTGATATAGATATTTTATAATCAAATAAATTAAATTAATACAATGCACTTTTTAATTAACAATGTTATCAATCATTCAAAAAAAAGAATTAATAAAATTTATCGTTTCTCTCCTATTACAAATTTCCTCTTATAAATTTATTAAACAGAATTAGCAAAACATGAAATTAATAAAACTTTTTTCCCTGTAATTTTTCAGATTTTTTCTTTTAATTATTTATTTGAAATTACATAGATTAAGTCAATATTTTCTTGTAATAATATTCTTAAGAATATGAAAATACTTAATATACAAGATGAAATAATTAGTCTGAATACGAAATTCTTAAATTAATTATTATTTCTAGAATAATATACTGTTTTTTTATTAATATACTTTTTGCAATTTTTTTCTAATTGTCAAATAGAAACAACTTTTTTTATTTCGGGATACGTTGACTATTTCACCGTCAATCGGATTTATGGCCTGAGCATTTAGTTCTGCAATTCTAAAAGCATTCAGTGGCAATGGAATTCCAGACTCGAATGCAGGATAACTATTAAGTAGTACAATATTAATACTGTCTTTTTCTATTTTATGTAATGCTCTGATTGCGTGGTCTATGTATAGTATTTCTCAGCAAGCTGTTGAACAGTAAGTAAAAAATAGTAATATCGTATGAGATTATCCATAATGTAATATAAAGTATTCCATGTTCTTTGCCACAAATCTATGGATTTTTCAATGGCTGCTTGCGTATAAGATCGAACAGTTAGGTAACTTGGACCACCGATAAAATCCTTAAGCCAAGGTACAGCAGCAAAAGGGAAAATATAATCTACTATGGGTGGTTTACCCTTAGCAATCTAAAAAACAATATTTGAGTAATAGTGGAAAAAATTAAACTTAAACTGCTGTTATTTTATAAATACAATAAAATTAATTATATGTTACTCTACAAAATAGTAATATCTTTTTATTCAACATTTGCACATTTTTTGTATTATTATATAAAAACCTTAATAAATAAGATCATTTATTTCAATATTTATTGTAATGCCGTATGAAGAAAAAAGCTGCTTATTACTGAGATGAACAATGACGAGGCGTTTTTGGTTTGCCACGCAAACACAATTTAATCTATAAGAATCGTAAAATACGAATTAATAATTGTTAGTGGCTCGACTAAGTCGTCCGCTCTACGGCAAATTCAGTCGTTTACAATCTAAAAATGTATTAAATAACTATATTTCACTGCTTGTTTTGTTTATGTTCACCTCTACAATCCGTATAAATATTGAGTTAGTATAATATCCTGCACTATAACATCGAACTCGACACTCTTAATCATTTCCAATCGCTGCTTTTTATGATTGCGTCACATGAATTAATTTCCCACTGATATACAAAATATTCCATATAAAATACGTCATACTATTCTTATTCAGACGGATTATAATTCTCGGATTTTTCGTAAGTTTTTATCATCGAACACCTAACGATAATAGGTACTCTACTATGCAGGAGAATACACGTGAAAATGTAACAAATTAAGATCTCCACATTAATATTATATAAAGTATAAAACAATATTTTTTTAAACAGAAGTATTCTTTCTTATTTGTTTTATAAATTTTAAATAATCGATTTATAGTTACAAGGAAACACTTTTTAACATACATATATACGATGATTATAAAACTCTTATTACTAAATGTACTTGCAAAATGATAAACAACGATGTCTATTTCAGCAATCACTCATAGCAGGCAAAAATGAATGACTATATATGTAAATAACTATTGTAAAAAATAAATAAATATTGTAAAAAATAAATATTGTAAAAAATTAAATGTTAATTTTAACTTAACAATGTATAGGGAACTTTCTAAGACACAAAAATGTTAATTTTAACATTTTTTGCATGTCTTAACAAGTCAACTATTTATCTTTAAGTTAAAATTAAGTTAAAATTAACATTTTAACAGTGCATATTTTATTTTCATGGATAGTATAATTTTCTCACATTTTTTTGTATTTTCATGAACATTTCAAATTTTCCTATTAAATTGACAAATTCCAATAAAATAGACATATCACATTACTCATTATTTTGCAAGTACTTTCAATACTAATAATAGTTCATCAAAATTAACGTGTGCATATATTAGATAGTTTTACTTGTCAGAGTGTCTTCAAGTTTCTTAAAATTTATTTATGGCTTATATCAAATTCTGCACGAGTTTAGTCTCGACTATACTCAGTACGTATACACGATGGCCTTTGCGAAGCAGTTCTTTAATTAAATTTGTTATCATCAATTAATTCAGTGATTGTTATCAATTAAATCAATAATTAAACCTAATTTATGGCATAATGGATGACACAAAAAATACGTTTAAATAGCATACTAAAAGAAATGAGTTTTTACCAATTATTTATCAGACAATAGCAAGCAAATACTCTTGGTACATGCAGATAAGGAGAATATAGTTATTGGACTTAATAGGATTGATTACGTTAACAAAATGAAAACGCAATTTTTATTATGTGATACGCAATTTTAAAACGTAATTCGATAAATTAATGGCAAGCTGCGTTATTAAATTTAATGTAATTTTATTAATTACACAGTTTTTTGCATAAAAATTCCCGAGATATTTTGATATCTTAACAACTAATATTTATTATTACATTTATTTATTTTTACAATTAGTAACATACGTAACCACGGTATCAATTATAACATTTATACGATTAATATTACATTTTCTATATTTGTATATTAATTTTACTTTTTTGGAATAATATTAATATTAATTAATATTAATGCAATAAAATTACAATAAGATTA